ACCCTTAATCCAAAGAAGTTCACAAGTCGTGACAGCCATAGCTCGATATTCTGCTTCGGCCGAAGAAAGGGATACAGTAGCCTGCTTCTTGGACTTCCACGAAATTGGGGACCGACCGAGCTGAATAATCCATCCGGAAAGAGATTTCCGAGACTTATGGCATCCCGCCCAGTCTGAATCGCACCAGGCATAGAGACGGAGGTCAGAATCTGCACGAAGTAAGATGCCTTGGCCGGGATTGCGTTTCAAGTAGCGAACCACACGCAGGACAGCATCCCAGTGGTCTTGTCGAGGAGCTTGCATGAATTGAGAGAGCGTGTGGACTGCGTACGTAATGTCGGGTCGAGTGGCAAGTAAATACAACAATCTGCCAACTAGCCGTCGATAGGGTTCTGGTTCCGGCAAGATGGGACTGGTGGAGACAGAAAGTCGATGATTCTGATCAAGAGGAATTGAGGCAGATTTTGCGCCAAGAAGACCGGTTTCGCGGAGGATATCCATTGTGTATTTTCGCTGACTCAAAGAGAGACCCACCGAGCTTCGAGCCACTTCGATCCCAAGGAAATATTTCAACGGTCCGAGGTCTTTCATGTGGAAGCAAGAGCTGAGGTATGCCTTGAACCCGTGAATAGCCGAGGCCGAGTTACCGGTAACGAGGAGATCGTCAACATACACTAAGACATGGAGCTGAGTCGGAGACTTGTCGAAGACGAAAAGAGAGTGATCCGATTGAGACTGCACGAAACCGTAACCTCGTAACGTCGAAGCAAGTTTGGCAAACCAACACCGTGGTGCTTGTTTGAGACCGTACAATGATTTTCTTAGACGACAAACCAGATTCGGCGTGGAAGGAGTGAAACCCGGTGGTAGTTTCATGTAGACCTCGTCATGAAGATCACCGTGTAGGAAAGCATTATGCACATCCATTTGGTGAACGTCCCATTTTCTAGCGGCAACGACGGCCAGAAATGTACGGACAGTCACCATCTTGGCTACGGGAGCAAATGTTTCGTCATAGTCCACTCCTTCGGTCTGTTTGTTGCCAAGTATCACAAGCCTAGCCTTATGTCTTTCGACTGTCCCATCGGATCTGTACTTATTCCGGAAAATCCATTTACAGCCAATGGATTTCTTATGCGGTGGAAGCGTTTCAAGTGTCCATGTCTGGTTCCGCTCGAGGGCAGCAATTTCGGCCTGCATGGCCTCTCTCCATCTCGTGTCCTGGACTGCTGAAGAATAGGATTTTGGTTCTAGTGAAGAATCGACAGCAGCCAGAAAAGCCTTGTGTTGTGGGAATACATTATCGTAGCACACAACATCATCAATTGGATACAAGATTCCATACGAGAAAGACAGAGGAGATGGAGCTGTAGAAGAAGAAACTTGGACAACATTTGTCACGTAGTCTTTGAGTTTGACATTCTGATACCGTTGGCGTTGACCACGCCCAAGGTTAGAGCTCACATCTGGTGGAGAAGTGTGTGAGGCATCGCTCGCTGTACGAGACACCGAGAGAGAGCGAGGCTCGGACGAAGCAGAGTCATCGTGGCCTGAACTGGAAGAAATCAATGGGGAGCCAAGAGCAGAGGGCGGGTCTGTACCTTCAGAAAAACTGGGCGCTGTCGAAGGGGTCGGAGGAGTGGGTTCTGTAGCTGAGACAGATCGAGGGATGGGCACAGTATCGTCTTCGACAACAGGAAACACTGGCGGCAGAGACAACCCAGAGCTCGAAGAACTAGACACCTCAGAAGTCTGGTACGGAAACTCAGTTTCGCAGAAAATAACATCACGCGAGACAGATAGGCATTTCGTGTCGAGGTTGTAAACACGCCATCCCTTCTGGCCCACGGGATAACCAAGAAACAAACTGCGAGAGCTGCGGCTCACGAATTTGTCTCCCCCCTGATGTTGGTTATGGACATAGCACAAACTACCGAAGATGCGAAGATGATCATAGCACAGAGGCTGTCTATGTAAAAGCTCATAAGGAGTTCGACCATTGAGAACAGCAGTAGGAGTCCGATTAATTAAGTAACCCGCTGTCAAAATGCTCTCTCCCCAAAAATAAGTCGGTAGATTTGCTTGAAATAACAACGAACGAGCGACATTCAAAATATGTCGATGTTTGCGTTCGACTCGTCCATTTTGTTGCGGTGTTCCTACGCAAGAAGTTTCGTGTAGGATCCCATGATTCGAAAAATAATCCCTCATGCTGACAAATTCAGAGCCGTTGTCGGAGCGTATAGTCTTGACAAGCGTATTAAATTGGCATTCGACCATTGCAACAAAGTGACGTAGTTTAACGAAGGCTTCGGATTTCGCAGTCAACAAGTATATCCAAACAGCCCGTGAATAATCATCAACCACAGTGAGAAAGTATTTGGCACCCGATAACGATTGAGTGCGATACGGTCCACATATATCACAATGTATAAGCTCAAAAATCGCAGAACTTTTATTCGAACTCAAAGAAAATGAATCTCGTGTTTGTTTGGCTCGCAAACACACATCGCAATGCTTAGAGTCGGAAGAAACATTATACGGAAAATCCAAAACAGAAATCTGGGAGAGAACTTGTGAAGAAGGATGGCCCAATCGGTTATGCCATAAATCAATAGACTGTCGATCACGTGTCTGTGTTGCCGCGACCCTAGCTGCTCCACGAAAATAATATAGTCCATCTCATTGTTCACCCGCTCCAATCGGTGTCTTGGTAGTGCGGTCCTGAATCATACACAAATCACGAGCAAAAGTGACGAGACAGTCACATTCAGCCAAAAGCTGGGAAATGGAGATCAAATTGCATCGAAGCCCTGGTACGAATAGAACATTGGACAACCGTAGGCCTGTGCCGAGAAGAACAGATCCCGATTTAACTGAAATTACTTGCCGAGCATCCGGTTGAATGACAGAGATCGGCGAGATAACAGTAATATCAATCAGAGAGGACACAATGCCGGTCATATGATGAGAGCAACCTGTATCAAGTATCCAAGGAGAACAAGAATTCATACCAGAGAGATTTTCGGAATTGTCGGCATGGGTTGCGTTGAGCAGATTTATCAGAGTCTGCAATTGATCTCCAGTGATTCCGCTTAGACCCTGTTTGGCGATATCAGACACGGTGGTCGAAACAGAGGAGGTCGGAGCAGACGGAGCAATTACCATGGCATTGGCTCTGGCAAATCCGATAGATCGATCACCATGTGTGGAAACAGTCTGTTGTCGTCCTCTACCTCCGGTCACGCCAGGTCGAGTGCGGGGGCGGTCACCCCACCACTCAGGGTACCCGACGAGCTGGAAGCAGACATCAGCCAGATGACCGGAACGGTTGCAGTGAGAGCACAAAACAGATTTGTCCTTCTCACGCGGTTGTTGTCGTTGTTTCGTCTGAACCAAAAATGCAGCAGCTTCATGACGTTCATCGTAGGACTGGGTAATTTTCTTGGATTCCTCATCTTGAGCTACAACATTATAGGCCTCTTCAAGATTTGGAAGTGGCTGTCGAGAAAGGAGATTCGAGCGCACAGTACCGTAACGGGCGTCATCCAAGCCGAAAAGAAATTCATAAAGTCTGTCCTCGTTCCGCTCTTTCTCAAGCAATGCAGCAATATCACATGAGAAGCGACCACACTTGCACGATTTCAGAGTCCGAAAAGTCGCAAGATCATCCCAAAGTTTACTAAGCCTGCCAAAATATGCTTCGACGGTTAGACCGTGTTGGCGACAATTGACGAGCTCGCTTCGGATTCGAAGAAGGCGGGGAGCATTTGTTTTGCCGAATCTTCTTTTCAAATAATCCCACAAGTCGGTGGCATACTCTCGATGAACGACATCCGACCGAAGGTGAGATTCGAGAGTGTTCTTAATCCAAGATACGATGAGAGCATTGTTGGTGTCCCAGTCTTCAAAATCTGTCGAGGTCGCATCAGGTTTAGAGATCGAGCCGTCGACAAAACCGAATTTCTTTCGAGATTTTAGGGCATGCCGAATGTTGATCGACCATTCGTCGTAGTTATCTCCACGCAACAGCGGCTGCGAGAGAATCAGCCTCGTATTATCACTCGGGGTGAGATCATAAGGGGAAATCGTGCGTCGAGGTGTCATGGTCGGGTCAGGAATCGTCGCTGTGTTCATTGTCGGATTCGTGGGTTCGGTGTTCGGGATCGGTACAGTAGATGTGGTTTCGGTAGACATGAAAACGAAGGGGTTAGATCGGTGTGTGGGTTGTGTCGTGCTCTGATACCATGTCACGTTAGGAACATAAGCAAACGACGGCCGGAGAAAACTTGTGTATTTCTAGTAAAACAACACGGATATATACAACACTTGTCTTTTAACCTAAGGTCAACGAGAAAGGAAACCAAATATATGACAGAGGAGTTTCCTTGTCTGTATGATACAACATATATACTATTACCTTCTCCCCAACTACTCATTGTCTATCCTCCAGAGCTCTTAGTTTCTCGGTGGAAACTTTCAAGAACGTAAAGATTTGAAACAAGAAAAAAAATTAAGACCCACATATTTATCTAATTTTATTATAAAACCTCAAGTCATGGACTTCCCTCATTTCTTCCACATGTGTGTTCAAATTGACTGAGATATACAAATTGGAAATGAATTGTATATTAAATATAATAAAAATTAAAAACATATGTTTTTGTAACAAAAAAAATTGAACGCGAAATAAATCAACGTGACAGAATAAAAACCAAAATAATACAACGACAAAACGAAACAAAAATCTAGAAATAATCAAAAGAAATATTACCCACATCATAAATTAAAATTTATCACAGAACCACCAACCAAATCATAAGCCCCAGTGGGCATGTGGTGGGACAGGACATCAAACGTTTCTGTTTTCCTTCAGATCACCAGTTTCTTCAAAACAACAGATAAAGAAAAGGACACGTGGCGAAAACCCATTTGCCTCAGATCATATGTGGATAAGGAAATGGATTATAACCCTCGAAACCCAACCTTTCCCCACATTTCCACAATCCTCTTAAGAAACAAGTGAACTCAAAACGCAGAAACAAGAGACAGAGATCTAAGACGTGAAGCTCAAGAAATGGCGTCGATGACGATGACCGCCTCATGCCTTCCCTCCTCCGCCGTGAGGCCGCCGTCAAACGCCGCCTCCGTTCGCCGAAGCCTCGCGGTGGTGAGGGCCTCCACCGGCGGCGAAAGCTCGACGGCTGGAATCAGGGCTAAGGAATCGACGGTGAAGCAAGAACAGACGAGGAGCATATCGATGAGGAGAGACCTCATGTTCGCGGCGGCTGTCACCGCGGCGGCGACCCTGGCGAAGGCGGCAATGGCGGAGGATGAGCCGAAGCGAGGAACAGAAGGAGCCAAGAAGAAGTATGCACCTATCTGCGTTACGATGCCCACTGCAAAAATCTGCCACAAGTGAGTGGCCGTACAAAAACATGTCTGGTTTTCTTTAAGGTTTCGGCTCCATTCTCTTGTCTGGCCTGTCTGTAATGATATCGATCAATTTACAGAAACCCTGTTCTCTATTCTTTGACAAGTCCCTGAAATTCTTCTCTATCCGATGATTATATCGTTTCTTGTCAATCGTCACCCTTGTCTCCAAATCCTCGGATAATTTGGATAATGGATATGGATCCCGAAAATCAGATAACCGAATCTCGGATACTGTGGTTATGTCTGAATAATCGATTTGGATTATTAAAAAAAAACAGTGGATAATGCAAACAAAACATTCAGACATGTCAGCTGGAGAAACTGAATGCCGGTGATGAAGAAGCATCATCCTACCTATCAAGGAGAAAATTACATGATTTTTCCTCTCGGGGGCCATTGCTGATGCGCTCGAGAATCGTCAGCCGACACCCATCAGTTTTGCTATGTTTTTATTCAGTACACAGAAGCCAAGTTTCTTGATCCGACCTCCTATTGCTCCATCTGGCCAGTTCCAGCTTCTTCATCCACTTCTTGTTCTACGCCTTTTACCTGCATTTCGGCCGACGATTCGTTGAACAATATCGCGATTTGCAGTAAAATGGTGCTCGCTAAAGGTGGAAATCTGGCTTTTTTTGTATTGCAAATAGCAGTGAAGTGTAGAGATGACAACTGTTTTTGGAACTCCTATCACTTTACCTCGGATACATAATGCATCAGCATATTCTCGATTCCTGATTTCAGAGTAACAGATGAACTCGGACAACCGCTACAAGCTCCTTGCATCCGGAGTTTAACTATACCCGTTTCCCTAATCCAAACACCGAAGATACCATCATTTTTATTTAAGAGATAAAAGAAGCGAATAACTTGCCAGAACCTTTGGGGAGGGGAAGCAAACTTACGGATCAAACCCGCAATACTCAATGTCCCCACCATCATCTTGGACAGCCGGTCGAATCCGCGTCTCCAACAGTTCCTTGATCATTGCTACGGTCTCTGAATCATCCTGAATCACAAAGTTTAGGTTTGTATTACAGGAACCAGATGCAGCCCACCAAAACTCAATATTCGATATCGGGTCTTAATAAAAATCCACTTCGTGATCATTCAAACCCTATAGTAGGGAAACAGGAACACAGTTGAACGACTTTCAAAAAATTTTTGCCATGTGAGACCATAAATGATAATGTTACGAACTCCCGAATCAAAAAGGCATATAGTATGGAACCAGGAACCAGGGCTGGGATTTGTAGGATAATCCTGGATGGGCACTCCTATGTCAAGAGTATGCATAACATTTGGCAAAACTTTTAAACGTTCTCACACAACATACAAAAACTTTCTTCTCCAAATTAATTTGGTCGATGTTTCCTCACAGAACAAGAATACATAATCATCTAAATTTCTACTTACTGTAACTTGTAAATGGATTATGATTTATCATAGACAGAGGGCTGAATTTAGTAAACTAGAAAAGAAGAGAGCAACCTGAAAGAAACTCTAAAGAGCACAACCCTTGAGGAACTAACTATTGGAAAAAGTAAAAATAGTAGGAAGTTATAAAGAATAATATTGCACAATTTACCTCATGAATGGCCGTATCCTTGGCAGCAGCAACTTCTGCATCGAGAAACAAAGGCTGGCCAGAAGAGTAGAAATCCATGATTGCCGCAAAAATTTCAGGCTTGAGGACATCCCATGGTACATCATCTGACTTTGTTACAGTGACAAAATCTGACCCATAGAAAACTCGAACTACACCTGTATGGAAAGAGCAGTAGCTTAGTTCTCAAGGAAGTGATTGAAATCCAAGGTCCCTGTACCAACAAAAATGAAATTTGAGGAGGCAGACAAAGCAGTTGCTCGAATACAATAGTCCAATAGTCTAAACCACTTACAAGCCAGTATTTCACGGGATATGTAACTTGAGCACAAAAGTTGAAACCACATACAAGCCACTAAACCCAATAGAATGATCCCATGAACAGGTGAAATTCACTGGTTAAGGATACCTAAAACGATAGTTATCAAGAACAGGAGGGAAACAAATATTGGATAGTTCAGAGGTTTCCCATAGGTTGCTGAAGTTAGATGTCTATAAAAGGATTTGCTTATCTCTTTCGAAGTGAACTATTGTTCTTCTCTTGTCTTTTAAGCTGCGATGTAATATGACTTCCATATCTATTTGCCTAAAAAATGTATTCAATGCAAACAGTTTTTGAACTTTCTAATTTCTAGTCAACAAGCTTCTTCAGAAATATGTAAAAGATACAACCAAAATGTTTCCAAAACACAATCTATGAAAAGGAACACATGTCAGACGTCAATGTTTAGGATAACAACAATAGGAAAGCTGGCAATGTATATGCTTAGTCTACTTTCTCTCCTGCAGAATCTAAGAACTTCAAGATGCCAATTCACTCTATGATGCACCATGCATATTGTCACAGTACATCTACAGCAAACATTACATCAAATCCACCTTTCATACGTTAGAAATGATTAGAGATTCCTACAAATCATGCCAAGAGAATGCACTCAACAAAAGAAACTATAACCACCATCTCGACAGGACCCATCACATAAGAACAGATGCAGCAAGGAGGATTACCGTCAATCGCGAAAATGGTCTTAGCCAAAGGTGAACCCATAGCAGAACGAGCATTAGGGAAGTCTGCGCTTCCAACCTCCATGACTGGTTTACCCGGATGAAACATTAGAGAAGAAGGATTGGGTGTTGATTGTGTTTGGATAAACATTGTTCTCCTCTGCCCTTCTGAAATAGCCACAAACTCAACTGATTAAATCTTTGAGCTTCAATGATATTAGAATTCGGTTGTCTAAAACACGCTTGACAAATTCCAGATGCCAAAAAGCGCAACCTCTATAGGACAAGGAGAAGAACAAGCAAATCAATGCTGCATTGAAGAAACTAATTTATACATTAAAAAAGGTCGACTTTCCAATCTTTCAGTTGTGTTTTTTTTTTCGTAAAACAGTGAACCATGACAACAAATGCAAGATTAATTGATCAGAACAGCCAAACCTCCCAAGCAGTTCCATTTCCCGGAGAGATAACACGATCTTGAAAATATAGGAGCAGTATTTGTTGTCTGATGATCCCAGGAATTTGTCACCGAGATGAACAGCAAGCGCCGAGATACCAGTGAAGAATAAGAAGTTGATCCCCTACAAACAATCTCACGAGCTCCACACCGTGAAACAGAAGATAAAAGCCTCACAATTCCTCTCATGGCTATCACTGTAATCTATCTACCCGTCTCTTGCCAAAAGCTATCTCTGTCCTTCCTTACCGTCTATGCCTGTGTTTCAATTGCACAACAAACTACTGTTGATATACATTTTTTTCAACAATGGTTAAGCCTAAGGGTTGGCACTGATCAGAGTGTTATGAATTTCCGAAACTCCAATTGTAAGCCAAGAAAAGCAACAATAAAATCACTACAATAGAAAACACAGACTTCATACACTCGGACGGATTTAAAACAACATATTTTAAAAAGGGTGCCAACGCTCCATTGAAACCCAAACCATCAAATAAAGGGAAACTAAAAGACAAAGCACTCATATCACTTATATTTAGTGATCCAATATATTAGATAATGACTTGTATGTACAGCTAAATGATGGTGATCCAGATATGCAGATACCATAGATGTTACTGCAATATTCGCAGAATTAGTCCCCACTAAATCCATATGCTCACTCAAACAAACAACCATTACACAAAAAAGATTTCAGAAATTGCCCTACACCATTAATGTCCATTGGAAATTGCTACAACGCTAAGAAAAGTAATCAAATATCTGTAAATTCAAACGAACATGTGATCTTCCAGCCTCTATGAGTTGAAGAGTACTTCCCCTTAGCCCAGGAAAACGCAGAAATGTACCTCTGTTTGGAACAGCCAGACCGTTGTTACAAAAACAGGAAACCCAAAAAACCAAAACCTCAAAGTTCTTCCAAGAGGGTGCAAGTTCACAGGGTTGTTTCACAGATACGGCAAAAGACCAGATAAATTTGATTTAGGCAAAAGGAAGGCCACCCTTTCGACAACAATCAAGATCGTAACCAGTTACCGCAATGACATTGGTTTACTTCACATCTTTCTCTCTCAAATAAAAGAGAGAAAAACCGAAGGCATAAGCCAAAGTAAATCGTAGATACACATGGAGAAGGATCTAAATTCTTACCGAAAATCAAAGCAACAGTCGGACAAGGCAACGAATCGCGAGAGCAAAGCGATACAACAGCAGATTCCCAAGTGAAACTGTACAGATAGAACGCGAGGGAAAACCAGGCCAGAGATCCAAGGAAGAAACAGAATCGCCGGGGACCGGAGAGGAAGGAAGAGACTGGCCGCGAAAGATTGCGATAAAATCTGTGAAAATTCTCGATATTCATGAGCTCCCGAACGATGTGTAAAAGCCGGTTTAGGTTTACCGGTTTAAATTTGACAGATCGATAAATTGAGTTATTACCGTGAAATGGTTTACCCGGCCGGTTTAGGGTTTTTTATTTCCTTCTTCAAATAAATGTGAATAAACTTTTTTATTTAGAGCAGTATATATAATATAATAATGGAATATGCATACGAGTATTTTTCACAAGTTTTATTTCCCAAAAAACTATAAAACTACATTTTTTTATATATTTTTTTATATTAATATATGAAATAAGAAAATGATAATACAGAATGTACAATTGACAGTTGACATTTTGGTCGTGGGTTGATTTTTCTACGTTTGGTTTGATTATTTAAAAAGGTTGAGTTTGAGTATTTCAAAATATGTTAGTGTTTTGTTAATAAATTTCTATTCAAGACGAGTCAAGTCGATAGATTTTATTTTAATGAGCCTTAACAAAGATAAAGACTAACATATGGCCGTAAGCGGTAGCCTTAAAGTTATAAAACCCCGAATTCTTTTCAACAAAGAACGAATAATATTTTCCAGAAATTTTTTTTTTCACATTTGGTGCTTAAAAACCTATCAAAATATGGTATTAAGAGTGGGAGTGAAAGTAGTGATCAAAGTGGACGTTGGTTTAGTTCGGATTGGTTTTGATTTTGGTTTAGTTCGGTCCGGTTCCGTTTTTATTAAAAATTTTAGATTTTTTTTTTTAAAATATACCATTTAATTTTTATTTAAATCCAATTCAAACATGTATTATCCAAATCCACTGTTTTATTGTGAATGGATCTCAAACTGTCACCGTACTAACACCCCAAAATTATATCTAGCCATAATTAGGAACATGGATTTAGAATCATCATATATTTAAAATAGCTTGAGAGCGTTTTTCCAAAAAAATTTAGAATCATCTTAAGCTTTTTCCTTTTTTTATTGGTAAAAAGTATCTTGAATCATTTATTAAGGGGTCGGTGATTCACAAATCCAATAAATATGCAAATCAATTTATAATTAGAAAAAAAAAACTTTGCATACAAACATTAACATTACGAACTTGCTATATGCAGATTTCAATAATAAATAAATAAAACGCCATAAACAAAAATAGAAAATAAATAAATAGACACCAATTCGTTTGGTTTCGGTTAAACCGGTCTACACAACACCAAACTCTCGGTACGCTGCTTGGTTATTATAACACGTAAAAAGGCATTGCATTGGATCTGGTAAGAAAAAAAAAAAAACAAATCGAAAAACACTCCCGTCTCGAGAGAGAGATGAAGAAGCCGGTCGGAGCCGAGAAGAAGAGGGTGAAACGATCGGCGGGATCTGGTTCCTCTGCCGTCAGAGATTCCGCTTCCGATACTCCTCCCAGGGTTTGTTTCTTCATTGTTACATTTGATTGATTTCCCAAGTTTTGCCTTTTTTTGGCCCCTTTTGATCTAATCGATCATGTAAATTTCCGATGTTTTTGTTCAGTGGTTGTGGTGTTTCTCTTTTTTCGAAATTATATTCTTTCAGTTTGATGGTGTATGAATTTGCTGATGTACGTGTTTATGCATATTTGTGTTTGGTTTAATCTTCTGGGTTTTTGTAAACTTCCCTTTTCCTTATGCCCTGTTGTTTGATTGTGTATGATGGTGCAGATATACGTGTTTATGCATTCATCCATGTTTGGTTTAATCTCATGGGTTTTGTGATTTTCCAGTTTTCGTATACCCTTGTGGTTTATAGGTTATGTTAGTATGTTACTATCTCCTCTTCGTGTGATTTTTTTTTCTGTAGTTCATATAGTACTGTGACTGATAATTTCTGGGTTGATGAATGAATCGCTTTTTATACCACAGTGTGCGATTCTTTACATTGGCAATTGGCAAATGCGGAGTGTTCGGTTTTTGTATTGTTTAGTTGCTGCTTTGTCATTTAGAGTTCATCTGTTTGTGTCTGGTAGACCATTTTCTTCTGATTTTACTGTATCTTGTCTTCTGTAGAAGCAACCTGTCAAGAAGGATACATTTCAATTGTTTGCTGAGAAAGTCAGAGACCACAAGGACTTGGAATCGAGATGGGCTGTTTTGCAGGAGACACGAGTCGAATACTTTAGAGGAAAAGATTTTGTGAGTTTCTTGAAAAACCACCCAGAGGCTAAGGAGACATTGGAGGAAGATAAAGACCTCGAGGCTGAAGATATTGCCAACGCGTTGTTAAGGAAGAACCTTTTGGTGCGATGTGATCGTGTCGTGAAAACTGTTCGTCCTGGGAAGAAAAAATTGTCTACCTGGCCAGCCCATTTGGAGATTTTCCCTGTGAGTCGATTTCTGTTGGTTATATGCAAACCGTTCTTCATTTTCCGCCGCAATCCTTTTTAATTTGAAATTATCTGATAATGATGTTAAGTTTGATGTTAGACTGAGCGAACAATTCCTTATTAGCTATCATGGAATCTCTCTCCTTCTCAAAACTTGTCAAATTGCGTGAATTCTCGTAAAACCTTGAGGCTTCAGGGTATGTTTGAGTTGCTTTTGAGAAATACAGTAGATTGAAATTGCTTCTAAAACACTTTTTTTTGTAGTTATCTGATACTTATGAGGGAATTCACTGCCAGTACTTCAACATTTTGATTTCCCTTCCGCTTGTAAATTATTGCAGGAACAAGTATTCTCGGAAACCGATGCTTTTTTTGCATGGACGTTTGAAAAACGACATCCCCTATGGCAAACACTCTTGTCTTTCTTCTGGCCCGTCTTGACTCTCGCAATTTGTTTGTTTCCCGTGTATCCACATCGTTGCAAGCTGATTGTTCTTTACTCATGCGCGGGCATCCTTTTGCTGATACTCACTCTGCTTTTAGGTAAGTTCTATATATTTAGTACTTTGATGACTTCTCCTATGGATCGAATACCCTGACACTATTGAATTACCCCGGTTTTCTTTTTCTAGTGAGAGCAATTGTTTTCGGTGCAATATGGATCCTCCTCGGAAAACGTGTCTGGTTCTTCCCCAACATTCTGGCTGAGGAAGCTACATTGAAGGAACTTTTCCGTTTCTGGCCAAAGAAAGACGAGGAAGAACCGCCCAAGTGGACTTCACGGCTTTTCTACACTGTAGTTGCTGTAGTCGTCATAGTGCTGCTGAGGCACCATGCCCCAGACGAGGCTGCGAGGGCGAGGTAAACACTCTTCTCGTTAAAAAGTTTACCTCTGATTCACTCGGGATCATCGAAATGCTTGCTGCAGTGTAGTCACATTTAACCGAGAGATTTTCTGTTTTATAGGATTAACTCGTTGCCCGAAAATTATAATTTTTTGTTTCATGTTCATTCAGGTACCAGAAAAGGATGTCAAACATCATTGATGATGTCCTAGAGTGGTCACCGAAGCTAGCTCTCTCCGGGATGATGGAGAAACAGGAGCCCGTTAACATCACGGAGACGGCTAATAGCTCCGCGGATGGAAGCACGGAAAGTCCCGAGCAGATGGAGGCCGATGTAGAATCTGTAGCAGACCAAGATCACGGTGAAGAAGGCGAAAACTCGGAGAATGATGATTCGAGAACATAATAAGATAGAAACTATCAAACAGAAGAGAGAGTGAGAGAGAAGAAGAAGAAGAAGAAAAGAGGAAGTGCATTTTGTAACAATAAATTAGCCTTTTGGGTTTCCATTTTGCTATCCAATGAAAGCTTTATAACCATGGAGATTGGAGATGAAAATGCTCATAGAGATTGTGGTATTGCCTTTTGACATCACAGCAAGAGCAGCCTTAGATTGTGTTCCTTGGTAGCATTTTGATTTTAAAGCAACTTCAAATGGTTTGGGTCACACCAAACCGGTCAAATCGGACCAAACATAGTTGAAGTCTTGTCTGATTTCTGTCAACCGAGATGAACCAAAAATAAATTTTTGTTCTATTTTAGAGAGATTATTATTTACACAACGAAACCCAATAATGTCGGGACCGAACTAAGTTGGGTTCTGTGCTAAATTTTTTTTGTTGTATTGAACTAATTTGAACACAAAGTGAAAAAAGAAAAAACCCGAACCAAATCGAAATTGTCCACATCAGGATTACTAACTTATTTAATTTTAACGGTGTAACTAATATGACCATCATATAATTTTAATGTGAAACCAGTTTGACTCTAAAATAGGTCACGATGATCACACCCGTCAGACAAAAAATCATGTAAATGATGTAAAAAGATATACTCTGAAGTCCAGCAAAAAGTAAATATATATTTGATAATGCCCCAACAAACCTTTTGGCTTACGTCAAACAAGAAAGCTACGCCGATCCATATGTACAAGAGAGAGAGAGAGCCAAGAATGACTTGCCGCGTCCAGACCGTGTTTCCCCATCTGGGCACCGACAGTGTACGGTCACTTGATGGCAAGACGTGTTTGAGAAGGCCGGTTTGCCGTAGAAGACATGCTGTTCAATTGCTGACCCAAACAGTCTCCTTCTTCCCTTCTCTTATAAGCCGAGCCCTGGTGCACCGGAGAGTACGATGTGTCATCGGCATTGCCCTTCTCTTCTGTTTTCTTAGCAAACCTCCCTCCACTACCCCTTGGCCTCCTCATTGCATGCTGATGCCGAGATTCATGGAGATAAGGCTGTCGAAAGAAAAAACGCAGGATATGAATGCTGCATAAATCAATCAGACAAGTTCCATTAACACAGTTTTACCTTTCTCGATTTTATGAGCTTCTTCTCTAGCTCTGCCTTTGCACGCGCCTGCCTTCGTCTCACGATCGCCTGATATTGTTTAGCATTAACGTAAACTGGTTCTTGAGCCACCTCCGGAGGCAGAGGCATTCTTGTATGAGGCATCTCACCGTACGAAACAAAACCCTGACAGTGAAAGTGTTATTCCATTATATGTCCCATGGAAATGGAAAGAGAACAAGTAAAACAATGGAAGGGTCCTCCTTTGGTTTTCCTCAACAAAAATGCTGCGTTAAATCATATATAAACTCTAATGGCCAACCTTATGTGATTTCCCTTTTCGACTTAGCATAGGTCAAGCACGTAAAAATAATTAACTGAAGCAAATATCATGCAAATGATGGTAAACGATTGTACTATGGATCGAATAAAGAAACCATAATAGATTAATCGGCACATAAGATCAATGAACATCACATTTTTCTCATCAGTCGCCGAATAAGAAAAATGGGTCTGGAAATAAAGTCATATACCAAAGGCTGATGTCCACATGATCCCATCATTCCCCCATAATATGGATCTTGGAATTGTTTCCATGATGCACATGCCTACAAGATTCATGAAAAGAAGGAAGTGAGTGTGAGTTACCGTATCTTGTGAGCCAACACTTATTGGCTAGAGCGAACAGATTCAAAGGAGTTTCAGATAATAATGGATGGAAGTTACAACTGAGTGCCCAATAAGTTCAAGCTGAGGAGGTTGTGTGAGGCATTCATCACTTGCAGCAGCAGGTATAACTGATAAGAGATGTGTAAGTTCTTGATTGTCAGCTGTGTATTCTCCACCTGATAATCAAAACAAAAGAAGGAAATTTCAGGAGAGTAGAATTTTTAGCGTAAACATGAACCGAAGTTTCAGGGGAGTAGTTATCTATTGGCTAGAATTTGGCTCCAGTACTAATTCATAAGCATTCAGCATAAATCAATTGCTGCAAGCCCACAAGTAGAATTCACCACTACAAGATAGTTCGTGAAGAACGGAAACATACAAACTTACAAGTCACAAAACAATCTCATATTTGGTCGATTTGGAATCATAATTGGAAATAGTTCAATAATACTAACAAGGAGCGAAAAGGGTAATACTAGAACAACAGGCAACGTACCTGATTGGGAGGATGCTGTGACATGTGATTCCTTGTGTGAATGATCACCTCTATCTACTCCAGCATTATTAGGCGGTAATTTTGCGCCATTTGATTCAAAAGTATTTTGGTTTTCCGACACAGATAGCTTCCCGGAATTCTCTCCCTTCTCTCCAGCTTCCACAAAAGAATTTGCATTATAGCCAACAGCACGCCACCAAGGTTCTGAGGAAATTATAGATGAGGAGGATACAGGATGCACATCTGAAACAACTACTTGGTTTCCGCTCTCAGATTTCGACTGCATATCTCCGATTCCCTAATCCAGGTTAGATCATTATTACCGATCCCCTTGGAAAAGATAGGACGTTCTAGAGGAAATTGATCAGACACTTAGCACTCAGGTTTGGAAATTTCACCATAACCCTCAAATGGGATCACCCGGGTTGGAGACCTTCAAGGAGCACAACGGTGAGACGATCAATCACTACATAGTCACAAAACTGGCCTACGACATAATCCGAAACAATGGCTACAGTTCCGAAACTGGCCTAAGACATAATCCGAACTGCACTGTGGACATGAGACAAAGAACATCAAGAGAACATAACTAGTTTGTCCACATAAGAGGAGACTGAGAATTATGCCATCCAGAAATAGCAACATAGGCCGCATGGTTCAACCCCAAGTGAATGACAAGATCATGCAAAAAATAGCATTAGTACAGTCCATTGGATTTTTATTTTCCTTGGAAAAATTTACATACTCTCAACCAAAACTGTTCATATTAATCAAACCAATTACTGTATCCGCGAGATCAAAATTTAAGTTACCATACAGAACAAACGAAACTAGCAGCGACAATCATGCGAATTCGCTCCGAGAAAGGACTCATTAGCTAAAACCAAGCTCAACCCTGATCAGAAGAAAGAAAACCCAGATACGCTTGCGAATGAAATCGACCAGAGGGACAGAAAGTTGCGAAATTCGGAAAAAAGAAAATAACTAGAACCCAGTTGGATAAACCCGACAAAGGGCCATGAGCAGCTCGTAAAAACAATTACGAATTGGGGTTACTTCGAATTTTGAATAGGAGAAGGACAAGTACCTGGGATTTGAGTTTGAGGAAGACGAAGCAATCAGAAGCATCAGCGCGGTTTTTTTTTTGGTTCCTTTTTCTGGGTGGGATAAGCTCAAATTCATTCTTTGATTCCCTGGTGGCCCACCTTAATGCCATGTTTCGCCACATGAACGAAGCCCAGATTCACCCTCATCGCGCCTGTATCCTCAATATTTTATTTTAATGAAAAAAAAAAGAAATTAGACGAGTTACTAATTCATTTTTTAAAAAAAGAACAACCTAGTAATTGTTGTAAATATACAAATAGATATCTAGTGGTTGCATATTATCTAGTGGAATCCATATTATGTTATTTTTCACTATGAAGAAGCTGACATTTTTTCATAGAGTGGAACCCATATTATGTTATTCTTTACTATGAAGAAGCTGACATTTCTTCGCTATGAAGAAGTTTCTTATATTTTTCTATAAATAGGTAAGTGATATATACGAAATACGATGAACTTTCTCATCTTCTCTCTATCATACTCTTTCTTTCTCTAAAACATTCATCCCTTGTTTTTCGTCTTTCGTTTTCAACACGTTATCAGTACGAGACTCTACCGATATAGAGGTAAAAAAAGAAAATATCCTACAAAAGGTAATGGATGATCATCCATCTCTATTCATCTTCAATTTCATTATATATAGACCTTGGGAGGCTCAGCCACCGGTCACTAATATATAACTAATCGCATATATTTATATTACATTCATATAGACTTCGCCGGCTCAGCCACCAGTCAATGATATGAATGTTTATAAATATTGTTATTATTATCATAATGGTTGGCTATGCCACCTGTAAATATTCTTATGAATATCTATAAGTATTACTATATTACTATTATCATCATAATGGTTGGCTATACCACCTGTAAATATTCTTATGAATATCTATAAATATTACTATTATTATCGTAATGGTTGGCTATGCCACCTAAATATGAATATTATTTCTGTCATTATTTATCTTATTATTTCTGTGATGGATGACTATGCCACTTTAACTATTTACTTTATGCAATATGGACGGTATTACCGCCTGATAATATATTCATGGTTATATCTACTGTTGTTACATATGATACATATATCGAATTTGGTCAATCTTGAAATCGCTGTCCTCGATGCTTATGGGAAAAAAATTATATGATATGGGCATTTGATGCCAAAATGCATCTGAAAACCGAAAAGATTGTCAAAACAATCGAAAAAGGGCAAGCGACATCTGAAACTGATAAGGAAAAAAGCGATAATATTTCTGCGACGCCATCTTGACGATGCGTTAAAAGATGAATATCGCACGAAAGAGAATCCCGCAGATTTATGGGAATCACTCAAAGATCATTTCGATCATGAGAAATATATGATCCATCTGAGAGCCAAACATGATTGGCTGGATCTGAGATTCTAAGATTTTACGTCTGTGCGTGAATATGATTCCGCAATGTTTGAGATAATCTTTGTTATCGATGTGGTATGAACGATCACTGGTCACAGACCTGTCGTATACCGAAACATCTTATTGAATGATATCTAACAATCATGTAAAGATAAAAGGGAGAAATACCCAGACAAATTTTTGTATCTGGTGTCCCTGATGATTTCATCAATAAAGAAAGAGATGGAACATATTTGTATATCGCGGATTTCCTTGATCAGCTTGAAGATGGAAAAATGACCAACTAGAGAAAATCGACATGAAGTTTATTATGAATGTTGCATTGTCTATTTTATTTCTAAGTGTGTTTTATACTCTAACTTTCAGTTTCTGTGTTATGTACTATTTCATCTTTATCTTTGTTTTCAGGAATATTTCGTATCTTTCACATTGATCAATTCGACTTGAGATATGTCAAAATTCATGATCAATGATAGGGATATATGTCTAGCCGATAGTGCTACGACTCATACGATACTTAAAGATGAGAAATACTTCTCTGAGTTGAATATTACTGAATCCAGTGTTAACACAATATCTGGAAATGCGAGAATGATCATGGGCTCAGGAAGAGCAAGTTTTATGATGCCTAAAGGCACAAAGATTATGATCAATAACGCATTATTCGCTCCAAAGTCTCAAAGAAACTTATTGAGTTTCAAAGATATTCGCCAAAATAATTTTCATATCGAGACTATAAGTGAAGAAAATCGTTAATACATTTTTATCACGTCAATGATTGCTGGAAAGAAACATATGATGGAAAAGTTACCATCATTATCCTCTGGATTATACTTCACAAAGATATATATGAAGAAAATCGTTAATACATTTTTATCACGTCAATGATTGCTGGAAAGAAACATATGATGGAAAAGTTACCATCATTATCCTCTGGATTATACTTCACAAAGATATATATGATTGAATCATATTCTACAATGAATCCACGGTTTGGAGATGTGTTCAAGATTTGGCATGATCGACTGGGTCACCCTGGTTCAATAATGATGCGGAGAATTGTGGAAAGTTCTAATGGTCATCCATTGAAAAATTGATAATACGACCGTCATCGGTCAAGATCGGAAATGAATTGCCATCATTTTTAGAACGAATGCATGGAGATATTTGTGGACTAATACATCCACCGAGTGGACCATTTCAATACTTTATGGTATTGATAGATGCATCAAGCAAATGGTCACATGTTTGTCTATTATCAACCCGCAATGTTGCATTCGCGAGGTTTCTTGCTCAAATTACCAAACTACGAGCTCAATTCCCTGATTATCCTATTAAGAAAGTGAGGCTTGATAACGCCGGTGAATTCACTTCTCAGGCTTTCAATGACTATTGTATGTCACTCGGAATTGAGATTGAGCATCATGTTCCCCATGTCCATACACAAAATGGTATGGTCGAGTCATTAATTAAGCGACTCCAACTTATTGCTCGACCATTGATGATGAAAACAAAACTTCCGATTTCTGTTTGGGGGCATGCTATTTTATATGCTGGAGCACTGGTTCAAATTCGACCGAGTGCATATCATAAATATTCTCCTGTGCAATTGGCAACTGGAAATGAACCAAATATATCTCATCTTAGAGTATTTGGTTGTGCGGTATATGTACCAATAGCTCCACCACAACGTACAAAAATGAGCCCACAACGACGATTGAGTATTTACGTTGGATATAATTCACCCTCAATCATTCGATATCTTGAACCACAAACGGGTGATATGTTTACAGCTCGTTTTGATGATTGTCATTTTCGTGAGGATGAATTCCCGACGTTAGGGGGAGGAATGATATAAGCCTCACAAGATTTGACGTGGAAAACAGAATCATTATTATATCTTGATCCTCCTACAAAACAATGTGATCTTGAAGTAAAAAAGATCATACATTTGCAAAATGTAGCAAATCGATTGCCAGATGGATTCACAGATACAATACGGGTGACAAAAACATATATACCAGCCGCGAATGTACCCGCTCGGATAGAAATACCAAAGGATCAGGGGGAGAAAAGAATTTCAAATGAGTCTATGGCACAGTTGAAACGTGGAAGACCACCCGGTTCTAAAGATAGAAATCCACGAAAAAGAAAGAAAACTAAGACTGATGATAGTCCTCAGATTGATCCAAAAGAACCGAATGAGGGAAAATATACTGAATATCAAAATGATGAAAATGGTCTTCAGAATGCAGAAGACAATGAAATTTTCGTCAACTACATCCATAATGGAAAGATGTTGGTAAGAAATGAGATAGACGACAGTGATGGAATATTCTCTTTCTCTGTGTCTAAGGAAATCGAAAATGATAGTGAAGATCCATAACCGATGTCGATATCTGAATGTCAAAGGAGACATGATTGGATAAAATGGAAAGAATGTATGGAAGTAGAATTAGACTCATTAAATAAAAGAAAAGTATTTGGATCCATTATTGAAACCTCTGACGGTGTAAAACCAGTTGGATGCAGATGAGTGTTTGTGCGAAAGAGAAATGAAAATAATGAAATTATGAGATATAAAGCACGTCTTGTCGCACAAGGTTTTTCTCAAAGACCTGGAATAGATTATGAGGAAACGTATTCTCCAGTCATGGATGCGGTTACGTTCAGATATTTGATAAGTTTGACAACTTCCAAGAATTTGGAAATGTATCTCATGGATGTTGTCACAACATATTTATATGGGTCATTGGAAAATGACATATACATGAAAATTCCTAAAGGATTGAGAATACAAGGGGCATTAAACTCAAAATCCAAGGAAACATATGCGATCAAATTACAACGATCCTTATATGGATTAAAACAATCTGGACGTATGTGGTATAATCGCTTAAGTGAATGCCTACTGAAAAAGGGATACGTTAATAATCCCATTTGCCCATGTGTTTTCATCCAGAAAACAGATAGCGGTTTTGTGATTATAGCGGTTTATGTGGATGATCTAAACATAATCGGGCCTCCAAAGGAAATTGAAAACGCTCGAAATTATCTCAAAGGAGAATTTGAGATGAAAGATTTGGGACGACGAAGTTTTGTCTTGGACTACAAATAGAACATCTTCCTAGCGTAATACTTGTCCATCAGTCCAACTATACCAAGAAAATTCTGAGGCGTTTTAACATGGATAAATCAAATCCGTTGAGCACCCCAATGGTTTGTAGGTCCCTAAATGTTGAAAAAGATCTATTTCGCCCTTACGAAGATAACGAGGAGGTACTCGGTCCTGAAGTACCTTATATGAGCGCGATATGGGCATTGTTATATCTTGCTAACTGTACTCAACCAGATATAGCGTTTGCTACTAATCTTTTAGCGAGATATAGTTCGTCTCCAACAAGACAACATTGGACAGAGATCAAACATATCTTTCGTTATTTACAAGGAACGATTGATTTGGGATTATTTTATCATAAGGATTCGAAACTTGAGCTAATCGGTTTTGCAGACGCAGGTTATTTATCCAACCCTCATAAAGTCCGATCACAGACTCGATATATTTTCACAATTGGAGGTACTGCAATATCCTGGCATTCTCAGAAACAAACATTGGTTGCAACATTTTCGAATCACGCTGAAGTCATTGCACTTCATGAAGTAAGTAGAGAATGTGTGTGGCTCAGGACTGTAACCCGCCATATACTAGAAGCGTGTGGATTACCGATGAATATCGATCCAACGATATTATTCGAAGATAATGCCGCATGTGTTGCTCAAACCAAAGAAGGATACATAAAGAATGATCGAACGAAGCATATTCCTCCGAAGTACTTCTCTTACACTCAAGAGCTCGAAAAGAAGAAGGAAGTTGATATCCATTATATCTGATCAAGTGACAACGTAGCTGATTTATTCACAAAGGCACTCCCTACTTCAATATTCAAGAAGTATATTCAGAATATCGGAATGTGTCGTCTTCGAAGTTTATGAAGAAACGTATGCATATTGGTTCAAGGGAGAGATTGTAAGACTGTACTCTTTTTTCCTCGTCATGGTTTTTATCCCACAGGGTTTTTCTATGATAAGGTTTTTAACGAGGCAGTCCATACTAGATGTCTAAGGGAAAGTGTTGTAAATATACAAGTAGACATCTAGTGGGATCCATATTACCTCGTGGAACTCATATTATGTTTTTCTTCACTATAAAGAAGTTGACCCTTCTTCACTATGAAGAAGTTGATTCTTCTTCATAATGAAGAAGCTGACCTTTCTTCACTATGAAGAAGTTCCTTATATTTCTCTATTTTAGGTCAGTGATATAGTTCATTTGTAATATACGAAATACGAAGAACTTTCTCTCTCTTTTCTCTATCATATTCTTCCTCTCTCTAAAACATTCTTCTCTTGTTTTCCGTCTTTCGTTTTCAACAGTAATGTATTTATTTGCATATACAATTTTCGGTAGGGTGAACATTTCGATATTCGATTCAAAATTTTGGTGGTTCCTTTCGAAAACAGTGTATTCGGTATTTTAAAATTTGTACTAAATTAGTACCAATTCTGTTCGATTCGATTCGGTTCTAGTTTTGGTACGGTTCGGTTTCGATTTTTGTTAAAAATTTTAGATTTTTTAAAGAAAATTTGGGTTTTTCAAAAATTTTATAAAGTTCGGTTCGGTTTAAAAAAATTCAGTTCTATAAAAAATTTATCATTCAAAAATTTTTGAATCATACGATTCGAAAAAAAATGGAGATGTTCAGGTCGAAGAACCGAACCGAAACATACACGCCTAATTTTTTTAGGTACAACTAATGGTTCAAATAGACATTTCGAGTAGAATAATAGGTTACAACTAACGGTTATCAATTTGGTTCATTTATATATAAAAAAAAAACAAAGAATCAAATTAAACCATATAATATATAATAATGTATATCCTATCAAGTATATTCTATTGTACGCTATATATTACACGTACAATGAAGCGCACATGAAAATCATTTCACCACACACTAATTAAACGTATAAATTCCGAAAATAATAAGCTGAAGATATTCGGAACCAAATCAAAGACAAAAAAAGACCACTTCATTATTCAAATGGACCAAATTAAGATTAGAATACTCAAATGTCAAATCTATGCCTAATGATTTTTTTTTAAAAAAAAAATGGTTTTCAACTTAAATATCATTTCCACTTTCGCTTTATTTATTGATCGTTTTTTCATCCGCTATCATTAATTATATTATGCAAAATTCCAACAAATTTCAATCAGATTTTGACAAAAAAATTTGTATATGCTTTTATTATATCCTATTTTTAAATGTAGGATATAATAATAGTAATGTACATGAAGCAATGGTTATTTATTAGCCTTTTCTCGCACAAGGTACAAGTGAGTAGAGCCATGGAGATCGAGCGGAAGCTTCTCCGCCTTCTTCACGGCCAGAAAACCCGAACCCGTTTATCTGAAATTCACGCCCACTTCCTCCGTCACGGCCTCCATGGATCCAATCTCCTTCTCGCTCACTTCATCTCCATCTGTAGCTCTCTCAACAAGTCGGACTATGCTTATGGCGTCTTCTCTCAGATACAAAACCCTAGCATCCTTGTCTTCAACGCCATGATCAAATGCTACTCTCTCCTCGGCCCAGCTATGGAATCTCTCCGTTTCTTCTCTTCCATGAAAAGCCGCGGAATTTGGGCTGACGAATACACTTACGCGCCGTTGCTTAAGTCTTGTTCAAGTGTCTGTGATCTCCGGCTCGGGGAATGTGTTCATGGAGAGGTTATAAGAACTGGGTTTCATCGATTTGGGTCTATACGGATTGGGTTGATGGAGTTATATGCGTCGGGCAGTAAAATGGGTGACGCGAAGAAAGTGTTCGACGAAATGCGTGACAAAGATGTTGTTGTATGGAACGTGATGATTCGCGGCTTCTGCAATGTAGGAGACGTTGATACAGGTCTGAATTTGTTCCGACAGATGACCGAACGGACTGTTGTCTCATGGAATTCGATGATATCGAGTTTGTCGCAGTGTGGCAGAGATCGTGACGCTTTAGAGCAGTTCTGCGAAATGCGAGATCAGGGGTTTGATCCTGATGAGGTTACAGTCGTCACTGTCTTGCCAATCTGCGCTCGTCTCGGAGTTACGGATGTCGGGAAATGGATTCAGTCTTTTGTGGAATCGAATGGTTTGTTTCATGACTTCACCTCAGTGGGTAACGCCTTACTCGATTACCATTGCAAGTGTGGTGAATTGGAGACAGCAGTATCTCTGTTCAAACAAATGCAGCGGAAAAACGTTGTCTCCTGGAACACGATGATATCAGGCTCGGCTGTTAACGGAAAGGGGGAACTTGGGATTGATCTATTCAATGAAATGATCAACGAGGGAGTAATAACCCCAAATGTGGCTACCTTCCTGGGCGTTCTGGCATGTTGTTCATACACAGGTAGGGTCGATAGGGGAAGAGAATTGTTTGCTTTGATGAGAGAAAGATTCAATCTTGAGCCGAGGACAGAGCATTATGGCGCAATGGTTGATCTTCTTAGCAGGAGCGGACGGATAAGAGAAGCCTTTGAGTTTCTCAGAGTCATGCCTGTGGAAGCTAACGCAGCTATGTGGGGGTCTCTGCTTAGTGCATGTCGCAGTCACGGTGATGTAGAGCTCGCAGAGATTGCAGCTATGGAGCTTGTGAGGATCGAGCCATTGAATTCTGGGAACTATGTGTTGTTGTCTAATTTGTATGCAGAGGAAGGGAGGTGGGAAGATGTGGAGAAAGTGAGAACATTGATGAAGCAGAAATGCCTGAGAAAATCCGCTGGCCAAAGCACCGTTGCATTCTGAAAACTGTCCATTTGATTGAAACCATGTCCGTGTACATACATAAATTAAGACTTTTGTGGAATTCATACTACATCAGAAAAGAAGAGAACGTCCACTGGCATAAACAGCATTGCGTTCTGAAAGCTAGCGTTTCAATTGAGATCACGTTTTTGGGAAGGTGTCACATATCTTTCACGGTAATCTGATTGTGCAATGCATCTGGAAAAGAGGCTGAGAGAAAAGTAAGCGAAAAGCACACTTGCAAATATGTGTTGTATGTTTTCTACAGGATTCTGGCTCTGGTCTGGCTGCAAAAAGTTCAAGAAAACTATCCGGGCATGGTTAGTAACCGGTTTACAGAATCAATGGTGCAAACCCGAGAACCATAGCAGCGATCACTCCAGGCAACTGCTTCTCTGCCTTGCCAAAACCTAGTTCTGGAGCGTATTGTCTCAAGTCAAAGTTTCCTGCAGATCCAAGAACAATATTATGGACTGAAAGATAGAAATTTTTGTCATTTGTTCAAATGGTTTAATATCCATGACTGACCTCGAGCGAAAGAGGAGCTGCAGCCGCCGTGCAAAGCGTTCCTGATGTCTCGGGGGGTAGCTTGATTGTAGAACACAAAATCAGACATGATGCTATCGACGCATTTGAGCACAAGCTCTGTCTCGGCCCGACATGGTCCGTTGCAGAACACATCTGTTGCCTCCCTTGGAACCTTGAGTTCTCCCCTCTCGTCTAATCTCATTGCTTCGTTGCATCCTCTGTAAATCTGGAAACCAACCCCTTTGTAAGGAAAAATTCCAAGATTTAAAAAAAAGGGTTTTACAGGTTTCGAGTTTAGGTACCAGATTGTTGTTGAAACAGAACATGGCTCTCCGAACCAAGATCCCGGGACCATCCTGGGCGTAAACTAAATCGAAGAATCACAAATCAAAGGTAAGAAAATGATCCAACATTGAGTGAAACTCAAACATGTGACGAACCTGTATGTCTCTGTTTATGAAACGTGACAATGAACGAGATTAGATATAGCAACAAGAGCCTCCACGCCTCGGAAACTGCCATTGACAAGAACTTATGGTACAAGAACAACACAGGACCTTGAATCTGAAAGTGAGTTTCTATTACTGTAGATCGATTTGATTAAGCTAATCTCAGTATTATCGACGGTAAAGATAACTTGAGTCTCTGCGCTATATATATAGAAAGCAATTGTACGTACAAAAAGATACTTTCAAAAAGAACAGAGGAGGAGGTAGGTGGCCTACTTTGAAATAGTTTAACCAGAAGCAGATGGTAGGATGTGGACCAAAACAAGAACAAGTTGGGAATTGCAAGCCAACAACTTATACAACACTAGATGATGTGAGTTCATGTCTTGTAAGAAAAATGAAATGCCATTGATAAAAATCTTTTGATATCTTCTAGGGTTTGGTATAGTAGTAAGACAATGATAATCTCAATAGTCTCTACTTGATGTACTGAGACAGCCATTTGAAGCCTTCGCCATAGCCCATTTTGCGGACGATGCTGCACATGAAGACCTCGAGGGGACGAACCCCTGAGTCCCCGAGATTGACCTTGCCCTTACCCGTGGTGAAGTTGGTGAGACCCAAGTGGTACCTCAGCTCATCTTCCGAAGCCGCGTAAGGGATATCTATCTTGTTTCCAAGAATCAAAAAGGGGACGTTCGCAAGGGCTTCATCCGAGAGAAGAGCATCTAACTCACGTTTTGATTCCGCAAATCTCTCCTTGTCGTAAGCATCCACGAGGTAGACAACAGCATCAACCTTTGAGACAGGAAAAAAAAGAGAGAACTTTTTTTATCAACACAGAGATCATCTGCACTACAAATTTTCAGTACACATGAAAATTTAGTGGCCCTGCAGATATGTTAACACCCTGCCATAGCAGGATATCACCTGAATGGTGTAACCCTCAATGAATTAGATCTTGCAAATATTAATTTTGCGATTGGCAGTCAGTGTGACTCTTACAAAATATTCAATGGTACAAAATACGCTTCTTGTATCTTGGATTACAATGTCTTAAAAGAAACTAACATGCAGCATTAATACCTTTTGACATAATTTTACAATAAAAAACACAATCATTAACCAATCAAAGATTAATGAAGAAGGCCAAGATAGATCTCCTGCAAAACATCGACTTTATTATTTACACCAATTAACGATATCTTGAAGCATGTAATATGACCATATGCACCCATTTAGAAACACTATCATTCAAGTTTACAATTCAACTCCACATAGATCAAAAACTTCTGAAGGAGCTTCAGAAGACCAAACCCGCACAGTTGTCCGTTCGATAAACAAAAACGTGCACCTAATTTCCAGTAAGAACATGGGACAGAATGTAAGGCAAGCTACTACAAGAACGCCTTTCGTAAGCAAAAGGGTTCGGTCGGCGAACTCCCAGGAATTCTTTTCTGCGTCCCATGAATCAGACAACAACAGGAAACATTAGACAAGATTACGAAAGCAATGTCAACATAGCCCAATTCAATACAAACATTTTCATTGAGTCTACGCATAAGGAGAGACATGATCAGTGAGAGAGTATACCTTTGCATAGTAATCTTTCCAAACCCTTCGGGCAATCTGATGACCTCCCAAATCAAAGGCCTTGAACTTGATCTTTCCAATACTGAGTTCCTCAGACGTGGGATGCTGAGTCGGCTGATGCTGAACGAGTCTCTGTCACAAACAACACAACAAAACCAATAAGATCTAAGAATGCCCTAGAAATAGGATCTATGTCTCGATGCCCAATCGAGTAAAAAAAAAACATATCGATTACTTTTTTTGAAATCGATCATCAAAAATAGTTACGCTACGGCCACCCAAACTCCATAAGAAAACTAGAATTCAAATTCCCAATTTTCTCAATAATTGCAAACGTTTTCCCCCGCAATCAAATAGGCCACCAAACGAGCAAACAGAAAAGACATTCCGAACCAACCAAAAAGGGGCAAATTCATGAATTGAAAAAAAAAAAAATCGGATCTATGGAGATAAGGAAGAGCAAGCATGCCCAACAACAGCAATATAAGGGAAAGAAATTACCTCATCTTTCAGCATATGAAGCAACGTGGTTTTTCCAGCATTATCAAGCCCTAGAAAGAGTATCTTCGCCTCTTTCTGCCATAACCCTAATGAAGCGAGGATTCCATAGAACCAATCGAACAAAAACATGGCTTCCGGTTTCTCACCGACCGATCAAAAACCCCAAAATTAAAAAAAAAACAAAATTTTCGATCTTCGAAACGAAGATCGAGGCTGAAACGAACAGAGAAAAAACGTAAGAAAATTCTAAAAAGGAACTAGAGAGAGAAACCTAGAGCGAGAGAGACGAAGAGCCAATATTTAGTTGTCTTGGGAGGAAGAAATACATGATAAACACGTGGAAGAGGAACAAGCTGGCATACTGACGTGGCAAATTATAATTGGATACATAATTGTTATTGACGTCAAATAGTCCGACGTAAACCGTAGATCTAAAAACCAACGGTTGTGATCCATTTCAGTGTTGTGTGTTGCGTGGGTAGGTGGGAGAGCCAAAAAAGTCGGTGACTCCACGTGGCTTGAAATTAACGACATAAGAATTCGCTTTAAGACGCTATGGTGTTTTGATGCCACCAACAACAGCTGATGTGAAATGCGTGCCGTTGAACGATTTAGTGATAGCACGTGGTGCCGTTTCTAAAATAATTAACAATTAAATTTGCCCATAAAATTTACAATTATTCAAAATAGGCCCATAAAAATACGTAACAACGAAGAAAAGATTATTCCCGCGGTCCAAATTTGACGACAAAAATCATATCAGATTTAGATTTAATGAAGTAGATTAGAGATGTAATTAATGCATTATATAAAATTATAAAATAATTGAATCGACCTCTCCCTCAGGAAGCAACATCAAATTCTTTGTATGCTCAACCAGTAAATTACATTCTTTTTTTTTTGGTTGAAGTAAATTACATTCTTAAACCGATTAAGATTAAAAAAAACAAAAGCTACATGTCTACGAGAAGTAGAAGATCCATAACATCTAACATCATAATCTCATTCCACTTAGAGATCTTAAGATTCGGAGAATCTATGCTCGTTCACCTCGGATTCTCCTGGCAAGCTGAATATCTTTGGGCATTATCGTGACCCTCTTCGCGTGAATCGCACACAGATTCGTGTCCTCAAACAACCCAACCAGATAAGCCTCGGCAGCCTCCTGGAGAGCTGCGACGGCACTGCTCTGGAACCTCAGATCCGTCTTGAAGTCCTGAGCGATCTCTCTCACCAATCTCTGGAACGGCAGTTTCCGAATCAGAAGCTCAGTACTCTTCTGGTACTTCCTGATCTCCCTCAGCGCCACAGTTCCCGGCCTGAACCTGTGCGGCTTTTTCACTCCTCCGGTCGCTGGAGCCGATTTCCTCGCCGCCTTGGTCGCCAGCTGCTTCCTCGGAGCTTTTCCTCCCGTGGACTTCCTCGCCGTCTGTTTCGTACGCGCCATTGCAATGGAGAAATGAAGTAGAGGTTCTTTGCTCGGTTGTTTGTTTCTCGGGAAAACGGAGGAAAATGCGTTTAAAGGCGATTTCTGTGTGTGTTTGCGGATGCCGATGAGACTATTTATCCACGGAGAGGATGTACGGAAAAGCGGGAAAAAATTTCACGGTATTTTGAAATTAATTTTCGTTCACCGAATCCCGACCGCTAGATTATATGTTAATCGACGGATGGAAGGGACTTCACAATGATCCGCGTGACCAGAGCGCGTGGTGTCTGACGTTTGTGGCCCTGATGTTAAAAAAATCTACGCGGTATGTGAACCGTAGATCAATGTTAGTATGGACGGTTAGATTTGATTGACTGGGATTGCAATCCGTGGCATAGTGTAGTTACCAATAGAAGTTCAGTATTATTATTGGGCTTTTGGGAGCTGGACCACGAGAGAAGCAGCCCAACAGAATGCCCGTTAACTTAATGGAAAGGAAATAAAGGAAATAAAAACTTCTAATGAGTAATCTTTTAACAAAACCAAACGGAAAATCCAAATTCCCCAGATTTTTATATAAATTTGATAAAATAGGCCATTCACAAAGTTTTTGGAATTCAAAAACAAAAAAATTATTAATAGATTTTTATAAATTTAGTTTTTCTATAAACTCGAAAAGTTAATTTAATAAAAAAAATCATTTAAAAATCAAAAATACCATTTTTCAGATTTATAAAATATTAAAAAAATCAAAATTAAAAACTAAAAGTCAAAAACTAAACAAAAAACTCAAAATAAAAACTATTATCATTCATAGCCTTTGTTTCTTCTATAACCTATTTTATTCATTACATATAAATTTTTTATAAACTAATTTACCAACAATAATTGTTACACATATAAAACAGTCTTGCTCAAAATATTAAAACTAATATCATTATACATATGTGGCTTTGATTGGTACACAAGTCATTCGGGATTATTTAAATTAATTTTTTTTAAAATTTAGGAAAACAAATTTTTCATATCATATAAACTAGAAATGTTTTAATCCTATAAACTTAAATATTTTGACTTTATAAAATCGACTCTCGAAACCATTAATCACATTTCTCCACACAATTAATTCTTTTAATTATTTGAATTCAATGAATTCAATTACTTATATTCAAGTCATATTAGTAGTGAGACTATATAAGAATTGTAACATCGTCTTCTTGTTTGCATTCGCTACATTCCAACTAGGAGTGGCCATTTCGCATTTCGAATTTCAATTCGGATTCGGTTATTTCGGTTATAGAAAAACTATAATCATTCAGTTTTTATATGAACTTCGGTTCGGTTCGGTTATTTTTTTATTCGGTTCAGATTTCGGTAAAAAAATTATTTTTTCAAAGAAATTGTCAGTTTTTTCAGTTATTTTTTTTTATTCGGTTAGGTTTTGATTTTTTCAAATTTAAAAAAATCATAACCGTTCGGTTTGGTATCCGGTTTGGTCCGAATACAGTTATGTCTTTTTCGATTCGGTTCGACTTGACTCGGTTATACGATTAATATCCGAAATGGTCGTCCCTCATTTCAACCAATAAAAAAGAGGGGCCACCTTTACAAAAGGATAATAAATGTCGCAATAAACCGTGTTTTTGTGGTTCAATCGGTAAGTTTTGGTAGCTCAACCAGTAAGGGAGGGAACAATTATCATTTCCAATCCGGGTTCGAGTCCTCGTTTGGGGAGGAGCATTCACATGAGCTTCTCCGATTTTATAGGAGATGTAATCAGACTAAAAATCCGGTGAACTTCCAGATTATAAAAAATAAATAATAAATATGTATCAATAAATAATAGCTGTTCAGTTTCCTATCCATTTCATGCACAAAAGGATAAAAAGAATGTTAATTATTAATGTGGGCCCATTCTTATTCTCAAAATTGTGCTTAGGGAACGTATCATTTGAAGGAAACATAGTGTCCTTTATAATATATATACACATATGTAACCAATTGAGTGCAGTGATTTAAAATTGTCAGTTTTAAACACTCCCAAAAATGGGAGTTAATTATTTAGTTTTGCATTGTTCATATCGAAATAAGATCTATAAATTGTTAGAGTTTAGAAAGAAGCACGACAATCATCTTGCTCTTTGCAGTTGAAACAATGAAGCTTATTACATTACGTTCGGTTGCGTTCTATTTCTTCTTGTGCTTAGCGGTTTCATCGGGAAGGGATGGAGGCATAGTGAAGACAGTGGTGGTGGATCAGTCTGGTCACGGTGACTTCAGGACCGTACAGTCAGCCATCGACTCTGTTCCATCGGGCAACCGTGATTGGATCAAGATATTCATCAAGATCGGAGTTTACAAGTAAGCTATATTCGTGTTCAGACATGATAAAATGGATTATGAATCAAGAATATGTTACTATTTTTAGAAAATATTATATATATATATATAGCGGCGGACTCACAAAAGATTATATTATTGGGGGCAAGTGTTGATACATGATCTAATTTTTAGAGAAAAAAATAAGAAATAAAAAAAGAGTGGGAGAGGCTTATAAAAAAATCTTTACGTGGACATTTTTTTTTATTAAAATTTTGTAAAATTTATAAGTAAATTAAAGTTTTGGTGGGGACATGATATATATATATATATATATATATATATATATATATCTTTTTATTTGGATTTTTTTTTTCATTTTGGAACGTGTGTAGTGAAATGGTGGTGATTCCACGCGATAAGCAAAGAATAGTAATGGAGGGAGAAGATCAATGGAAGACCATCATTCAATACAATGGTGTCGGAACAAACCGTCCTACTTTCAGATTGTCCGCCGAGTATTTCGTCGGAGTCGGCATAACCTTTAAGGTCAGACCAAATATTAGGGTTTGTATTTGCCATGTACACAACTAGGGCTGAGCACCCGTCGGAACTCGAACCCGTGCCTATCGTTTTGTTTTTGTTTTCCTTTTGTGCAGAATACATATAACAAGCTTTTACTGGTGGGTGACAAGATAATGCAAGTGGCCCCCGCGGCGTTGATAGAGTCGGACAAGGTGGCGTTCCTCCGGTGCGGTTTCATCAGCCTTCAAGACACTCTGGCCGACGCGAGGGGCCGCCATCTTTTCCAGCACTGTTACATCGAAGGAGCAGTCGATTTCATTTGGGGTTTCGCCCAATCCATGTACCAAGTAATGTTACATGATCACATGTACGTTTCATCTGTTATCAGTATGGATGGATGATGATGCGATGAATATATATGTACGTAAAAAAGGGATGCGAGATAAACGTGTCGGGGGAGCTGGGAAGAACGGTGGGATTCATAACGGCGCAGGGGAGAGAGACGGAGAAAGACACGAGTGGGTTCGTGTTCGTACAGTGCAACATCTTCGGGAACACGAAGGCGTTCCTGGGGAGAGCTTACCGACAGTACTCGAGGGTTGTCTTCTACAAGACCACCATGTCCGACATCATTGTTCCTCTTGGATGGGATGCTTGGACCTTCAATGGCCGCGAGTACTCTCTTTCTTTCGTTCAAACTCTTTTTACTTGCATATCACATTTGTTTTCGTTCTTTTTTTTTTTTTAACCATAATTAACATCTTCTTCTTTTTGGAAAATTCAAGGGGAACAATAACGTACGCGGAGGTAGAATGCGGGGGAGCGGGAGCAAACATGGAAGGGAGAGTGAAGTGGGAGAAGACCCTTTCTCCTCAACAGATTGATTTCCTTACAAACCCTCACACATTCATCGACCAAGATGGCTGGATTCAGAACCTTCCTTTCCCCATCTCTTTCTCCTAGAAACATTATCCATGATTCTCCTTGTAAGGAAATTGGCTTTCCCCAAGAATAATAAAAATTTTCCATCATCTCCCAAGAATAAGATGCTGATAAGCTTAGTCTAAAAACCTTTTTTTTTTTTTTGTTAATCCGTCACATAATTGTTCGATGATCTCCCAAAGATATTCTAACTCGAAGAAACTACAAAATAAAAGTTTTTTTTTAAAAAAAAAAGGAGAAATAAAAGTGACTCTAAAAATGTGGTCTTGAATCTAGAGCACTCTCACATGTTTAGAGCTCGTCCTGCACAAAAGCAAAAGGAAAACCACATCAACACAATAGAATCCAAAAGCCCCAAAAAAATTTCAAAGGGAGAAGAAACATTACATGAGTAGCGGCATCTTCGTTCTTGTCGGAGGCTTCCTCAGATTCATCTACTTTGGTCTCATCCTCCGTTTTAGATTCGTTGTCAGAGTCTTCTCCGTTGTCATCGTCGTCCTCCGCCTGAATAAAAAGCAAACCACATCAGAAACAGTTCCCCTGCAAAAAGAACAGGCATTAGCTTTGGAGGGAAAAGGCTTACATCTGACTCCGCTGGGTCATCCTTGGATTCCTGTATTAGCAAACGTCACAAAAAGCTAATGAGATTGGGCTTTTATGTGATAAATTATCGGCTATTCTTGTTAAAAGCCCAGAAGCAGATCCAAAAACCCTCTGGTTTGGTTTTAATTTGAAAGTATGGTTAGTGGGGGGAGAGTTACCTCCTCCTCTTTCTTCTTCTCAGCCTCCTCGAAAGCTGCCTTCTCAGCCTGTAAGACAAGGTTGGATTGGCTCCAAGTCAATAATCGTGTCACCAAACAAACAAACAAAAAAGGAAATTGATAACGGAGACTGATAGAAACTGCAAAACGAGGAGAATGTACATCTTTGTGCTTGCCCCATGTTTCCTCGGCAAACTTCTTGGCGTACTCTGGGTCATCACAGACCAAGACATTGTCGAACAAGGATCCGGATTTCACCTGGACAAAGAAGACAATATACAACACGTGTCTAGTAGGGGTATACAGGAGAGGCATGAGAAATCCAGAGAGAGAGAATCAATATTTTGTTGATGTTACCTGCCACAATTCGACCCCGACGTACTTCAGACTTGGGTAGACATAAAGGTCTGGGTCATCCTTGAAGTCTACATGAGAGATCAAATTCATGTCATAAGTTTCTCTATCGCCAATAAAATATGAGATATATCATACACCAACCGAGTGTGTGTATTCTTAGATTCAAGTGTCTTTTTAAATAATAATTCAAAATTAAATTAAGTTAGTCTGTGTTTTCTTCTCTGCTCACTTTGAGGATTCAAGTCGGTATTCACATTAATAGTTGGGAGTACCTAATCCAGAATGCATCAATCTTAAAGTCAATACATGTTTAGCCCTGTAGCCACACTTCCAATGACCCGGGTTTATGATTTTGGACTAAAAACCTTCCAAATTGTATATGAGAACATAGAGATTTAAAGAAGATACGGAGAAAAAATTACCAGGGTTGTCGATCATCGGAGCCTTCCACTTGCCCTTGTAGTTGGGGTTCTTGATTTTCTGAAATGCAATTACACTCTGTAAGGAATGCACCAAAAAATATTACGGCTTTATGCATCTTTTTCTTATAGCCAATTCAACAAACCTTGGGTTTCCATTCACCCTTGTACTCGGGGTTGGGAATGGTGGGTGCAGTCCATTCACCATCTTCTTCATCATCCCAGTCATCGGGCTAACATCAAGAAGTACACAAAGCATGAAAGCAAAATCAGTAAAGGTGGAACCGCAATAGATTTGTATTGTCTCTCGTATCATCTAAGACAGGGTTCTAACCTTCTTGGCATCAGTGTCTGGGATCTCCTTAGGAATGTCATCGTATCCCTCTGGTTTCTTGTCTTCTGGATCAGGAATGTACTCTTTGTCGTCCCAGTCCTCGGGCTGCAAAAACAATAATAGAGGTGTTAGCGCACGTATAAATCATGGTTTCACTGGTCACAAAAAAGCAGGGAGCAATGAAGAAGACAAAGTATGCAGCTTAGACAGAGGACCAATATTAGCAATTACCTTTTTGGCTTCGGGGTCTTTGATCTTCTTTGGTGGGAGGAGATCCCAGTCAGAGTAGAGGCTGCCGGTTTGTTTCTCAACATTGTCAATGAGAATGCTGTAGGTAGCATCTGGGCGGAGGATGAATGTGTACACATGAGTGAGCTGGTCAGTCTCACATGGTACTTCCTTCTTGATCAAGTGGTTAGTCTCGTTGTAAGTGAGGATAGCGTGCACTTTCTTTGTGCTGTAGCCACAGATATCTGGGCCAAACATGATGCTGCAGATAAACGCAGATGAGGATCAGGTTAAAGTAGGACATTGTTAACACAAGGATGGATGTATAACGCAAAAGCTTAGATAGATACACACCTGTATGGGGTGTCTCCACCGAATTTCTTCTGGTCAATACCGCCACTGAGCAGCTTCATGTATCCACCACCACAGTCAAGTTTCTGCTCGTGCTTGACAGAGAATTGGAAGACAAGGGTCTTCTCCTTGTTGCTGAATTCAGGGAACTCGGCTGAAACAGCATAGAACCTGTAGTCTTCGCTAGTCTGGATACCTGCGACACAGCATCAATAGTAACACATCGTTAACATGGCAGTGGAAAATGGACCGGAAAGCCCATGAACCATTCATAGTCTAGAGAGGCACCTTTATCGTTAGCGTCACCAAACCATTTTCCAGATGTATGGTTCCACTCCCCGGCAGTGTTATCATCTTTCTTCCAATCAGATTTCACCCACCTGTTCTCCCATCCATCTTCAGAAATAGAGACAATAAAGGCAATGAGGAACAGAAATTAGACAAGGAGAAATGCGAGGTTTAGTAAATACGTAAGAACTGCGGGCCTTAAATCAGTTCGCAAGAGTCAGTTGTGAAAAGCAGATACCAGTAAAATTTAAGTTTCAATAAAAACAATTATGCAAAACATTCAACTGACGAGTCATACTTCATAGATCACAGGCGCTAACACAGCACATAAGATCAGATGCAAAAATCAAGGTCCCGATGATAAAACACCGACAAGTCTGAAGTAGCAACTGCCAATGATCACACATTCAGTGATTAGAGAGAATCGCATATTCGTTTGACGCACGTCAGCAGTCGCGCACAATTAATCGTTTCAGAATTCATGACAATCAAAATTTATAATTCCACAATCTCCCAAATACAAGCTAGTCACAAGAAATTGACGATCATTTCCCTCACTCGCGTCGGCATTTTCATGTTAAATAATCTTAAAGCAAAACCAGAAACCATAAATTCATAGATCTACTCAACAATCAGCCTCATCTCACACAATCAAACACTTCGAAAACAAGAATATGGGTGCACGATCGAATACTGATCCTTATCTCGTAGCATCACTCCTCGACACATGAATCGATGTGATTCGTGTAGCAATGGCTCTCTGGTTAACAAATTCACACACATCAACGAAGAGAGAGAGATATATACCTTCGAAACGTTCTTCGAAGAAAACTTCAGCCGAGGCGATCGCGACAAGACCGAGGAGAATTAGAGAGAGGAACTTAGGGTTCAGTTTCGCCATAGCTAAAACTAGATCGGAGCTTTTTCCCCGAGAGCGATTGATGCTTCAGAAGAGCCGAAAGATATATACCCGTAGGAGCTGCAAGTGAACTTCACGCTCTCATGGCTTGCTAATTTGCATGCTTATCCACGTGGACCAACCATTGACAGACACATCATCTCAACTTGTCATGGAAATGACGTGGCACCACATGATTGGATTCATACACGAATCGAGGCTGGGACTAACGAACGGATGAGCGTGTACGTGGCGAGATATGACTGGTCATTAACAAGTGAAGAGGTGCCTCTCTCGTGGGCTCAGGTAGAGACAGTAATTACCGGGAGATTTTGAGGGTGTTATGGTAAATATAATAGATTTTCAGTTCGTTGGATATGGATGCGATTGTAGCCGTCGGATCCGAACTGATTCATCTAGAAAATTATAAAAGGGCCGTATAATTTTTATATAGAAATAAATAAAGGGGGGAAAATGGGCCGACAACCTCCTTATTTGTATTTTTTATTCAGAATCAGAGGTTGGTCCCTAGGAGATTAGCTTTGACGCTACTCAATCTGAATTAAATTTATAATGACAATAATTAGTAATATATATATTTTTATGATTATTTGTCAATATCATTCATTACATACATGACACACAATTACTTGACATGAATAATTTATTTCAGTTTGGATTTGTAACGATTTAATTCAAATATTTACTATATTTGACCTTAACATATTTGTTATCCTTATCCGCGCAATAACTTGAAGATTGCATATTTTTCTCTACTAATTAAAGAAACATAAAAATAGCACAGATGATCCGGAAAACCTAAAAAGTCAGAGTTTGTTTTACTGTTGTTTAAAACTTAGAAATATATATTTTAAATGTAATATCGAATTTTTAAATATCTTAATTTTGGATTTTCTTTTCGCATCCAAATCTCATTTATTCGGTTTTAGTGACCATTCATAAAATAACCATTGGCACGATAAAATTATAAAATTAACTATTTACTAAAATTAAGCCATTTAGTTAATTTTATTTACTATAGTAATAGCATAAAATTCTTTATAAATACATCAACTCTTCAAAATATATCAAATAAATATTTAAATTTATAATTTTATTTAATTAATAATTATTTTAATTGTTAGAATGTACTATATTAAAATCTCAATTCGTAAAATTGATATAAATTCTCAATTCCATCATTAAGAGCACCTTTAGTAAACGGTTTTTTGTTAAATTACTTGTAATTAGTTTTTTTCTATGGTGGAATGATGTTGGTTTATTTTAAAATACTGAAATATATTGAACCGGGAAAATAGATAAAATAAAAATATTAAGTGTTAAAAAACTTACAATCGAGATACGGTTTCAAAATGGTCTGATTCGAAGGTTGGTTTCATATTTTTTTTTTGGAGTCAAGTTCATAAAATTTGAGTCTGAAAAAACGGGATGAACGAGTGAGCTCCCCATCCCATGAACTCGTCTACAAGCCAGTTTTTTTATTTTAATATTTTTTTAACTTGTGTTTTTTACGGGTATTTGATTTGTTTTATTTAAATTTTTAGTTTTATAATATTTTTAATATTTTTAGTACTTAGATTTATTTTAAAATTAGGCATTTGACTCCCGAATTGTTTCGTTTGATTCGTGAGATAAGATGAAACAGACTAATCTAAGTAAATTTTTGCTCATCAAGAAACGAGTCGAACCGAATTGGATTCAAAAAAATTTGAGATCGAGATGAGTTTGTCTGGTTTCAAATTCACAATTTCATCAATTTCGACATCTCCCTCTCCCTTGACACTATTTTCCTCCGACGCCATTCGTCGTCTACCCTTCAATTCATATATTCTCTCTGATCCTTCATTACGGGCGACTGGAAGAGCTATTTTCGGTGAATTTTTTTGGCTTATTCTTCATGCGAGGAGCTATTTGGCAAGTTTTTGGGTTTGTGTCGGTTATCTTCGCATCTTGATGTTATTGGGTTTGTGTTTGTGTTAATCGCAGGGGTTGAGTTTTTTATGATGCATTTTTTTTTTTTAGTATATGTATCCTGAAAATTTCGAATAATCGATTCGTACCCGACCCTATCCCATTAATTTTAACCCGTTAATCGACTTGTGTCCATCCCTTTCATGGTAACGTTTCGTCACCGGAACTCGTTAATAGTTAACGACATTAACGGTCATATAATAATTTGAAAAAGTTTTATAAATTGGTGTGAATATATACCTTTGTATATTTATTTGTTAATTTTATTAACATATTTGAATAATTTCCGTATTTTGATGGAATTTTACCGGCTGCGGACGAGTAGACACGCGGACATTGGTATTGGTCGTCTTTAAAGACTATCCTACGTATACGGTATTTCGTTACGACGTCGTTTAGAATGACGGGAGGGTGGGGCAGTCGCAACATAAACCTCATAAACCCTGAATTGACATTCTTTGCAAGAAAGGTCGAATTGTGAACCAAATATTGGGTCTGGTCGAACTTGAAGAGGGAAAAAGAGGACAGTATCCTGGAAAAATGTCATCTTTTATCATCAAAAGGCCTAGCAGAAGCTCGTTACTTCTCTTCAGCAAAATCAGAAATCTCGTCTCTTCACAGATCCTGCCCGATTCCTCTCTCTCGGACGCAGTCGCGACTGATGCGAGTTCCGCTTCTGGGTTCACTTCGATTTTGTCAAGAAACCTCAAAACCTCATCTGGGTTAGGCTCAATCGGATCAAAAAACGGAAATTTCTCTCATTCCGATCGGAGATTTGGTGTTTTGGCATCTGGGTTTCGACAGTTGAGCTCAGAGGCTGCGTCTGTGGCGGAGGAGGCGACTGAGCCGTCGACTTCCGACGGGCTTACGGTGGAAAAGATCATTGCTAATCAGTGGACAATATTGAATGAGAGTGAGAGCGATTGGAAGAGCCATGCCGCTGCAATTGCTCAGTCCATCCAAGTCATCAAGAGACGTTTGCAGGTGAATTGATTTCGCATAGTAAAGTACCTGAATCTATGGTCTAAAATCACAAGCATATATTTATATATATATGTGTGTGTGTAAACATGTGCGTATGAGCTTCTTCTTCAGACATTTGACTGTGATTGCTCATTTCTGCTTGAGATTTTGAGGTATAGAGATATATAAGTTTTTCTGTTCATATGGATCCGTATAGAGCATCTGAGTGCACACATCACGGTCGTTGTCGATATATGCATGTGTTATTGTCTTCTGTATTATGATTTGCCATCTCAACTTAGAGAGACCGTATGTGTATACATATGTCCTCTATATCTTGTCCAACCACATAATTTACCAGCAGAAGAAATCGGTGCTAGGGAACTTGATCTGTTTGTAAGTATTTGAATGCATTTCTATTGTGTTCTGTGTTAAAAAATATCACCATTTTGGCAGTGGGAGAAACTCCTGGTGAGGGTTAACTTGTTGTCCGCGGAGCTGAATAAGCCTGACCTCTGGAATGATCCAACACATGCTGGGAAGATATGCCGTGAGCACGGTTCGCTCATGGGGAAGATGAAAGAGGTCAAGGCTTTTGAGAGGGAACTACTCGATCATATTGACATGTTGAAGCTTGCGAGGGATGAGAACGACTCAGAGTTGGAATCGGTGGGCGTCTCATTCACTTAGGCATGTGTTCTGTTCTGTTTTTTTTTGGTATACTGGTAGATGTTTTCAAATGCTCATCCATTTCAAATATGCATCCTGTTCTGTTTTCAAGATTTAAACTTTGAATGGTCGGTGTTTTTCTGGTGATGCATTTGGGTTTGAGGCGAAACATTTAAGCTTAACTCTGGTTTTTCAGACGTTTTCGAATAACAATCTCCTCGGTGCATTTTAGTGATGTTTTGATATGGAGCTCAAGCATTTGAAAATTATAAAAACCTCATCAATTCTGCATGGCCATTCTTCTTCTGTTTCTCTTCTAAAATCGGTACATATAGTAGTAACATGCAGCCAGTATGTGCCAAAATCAGATGAATCGCTAAACAATTGTTATTTGTTCCGGCTGCAGGAAACATTGAAGGTGTTGGTGAATATGAGAAGGCTTTCAAAAGAAAAGGAACTTGAGGCTCTATTATCTGGAGACAATGATTCTTGTTCTTGTTACATTGAGGTGAGACAGATTTTTGTCTCCGAGTTTGTATGAGTTCAGCGATGAAAAAACTCGAGGGATCTGATGACAGGTCCAAGCTGGAGCTGGAGGAACAGAGAGCATGGACTGGGCATCAATGGTGATGCAGATGTACAAAATGTGGGCCCAACGGCGTGGATTTTCAGTGTCTATTGTTGATGAAATGCCTGGTGATATGGCAGGAATCAAGGTTTGATTTGATCTTTTCAGCATTTTGTTTTTTAGTTGGAATGAAAGCCGAGATTATACGTTTTGCGTTGGAAACAAAATGCCAAGGAACGTGAGTGCGATAATACGATTGGTTGAATGAAGAATTAGCTACAAACTCTAAACCATAAATCTAAACCAATTATAAGCAGTAAACCATTGAGTTTTGAATCTAAAGTTTAGGACTTTAGATGTTTGAAATGGTTTAGGGTTTTGATGTTAGGGTTTAGGATTATAATTAAGAGATTAATGTTTATACTTTAGGATTTAGAAATTGTATGCTTTGCGTTTGAAACCAAACGTTGCTCGAATGAGGAATTGGCTGCAAAAAGTGTTGTTCTTTTAACGGTTTGTCCGCTCTTTCTCAGCGTGCAACCATAAAGGTAGATGGCGAATATGCATTTGGATATGCCAAAGCAGAAGTGGGAGTGCATAGGCTGGTGAGGATGTCGCCCTTTGACAGTGGCCAACGCCGACACACCTCGTTTGCTGCAGTAGCTGTGATCCCTATTCTTGGCGATGGGTCAGCCAGAGTTCATATCAATGAATCCGATCTTCGTATAGAGC